ATTAAAAAATTTAAAACGAAATAAGCAACTGAGATATAAAGCCTCTTTTCAATAATTGAGTTTCTTTTCATCAGGTAACATTTATTCATTTCAAATGGCGGGCTTTATAACACATATCATTAGCCCCTTAGCTGACATCGGGCTTCACAGAGGAGAGGAACATCAAAGTGAGAAAAAGTGGAGAGGGAGAACAGAAGAGTGATTCAAAGATGTTAAAGAGAGAGACAGACAGACACAAAGGCAGAGAAAAGGTGAGGTGAGTACTGTGGAAGTGGCAGAACATGACATACAGTGGGGTGATGGTAGTTAGAAGCCAGAAGTCAACTGCCGGTTAATAGACCTTTTGGCCGTATGAGAATACGTTGCCCGGGGTGCCCCACATGGAGGTAAGTCTATTGCACTCAATCTGGTAACACTGTGTTTAGTTTGTAGGTTGCTGCAATACTTTCGGTTCCTTTCACCAAATAATGACCAAATTTTGACCTACAAATTAAAAATATGCACTTGAGAGATACCGGCGTTGTGGAAGGCGCGGTGACAAAAAACAGTATCGTAAAAACATGCAGTGACTTGATTAGCTTACAAGATATATTTTTTTTAATTTTGCTGATGACTAACTAAATATTTTTGAAAATCAACCCCGTATGTTAGATGATGGTAGATCACTGACCGACATCAATTTTCACTTGGATTGAAGATCCAATCATTGCTTTAACAATGACATTTTCTACTATCTGGTTGGCGCATAATGACCTATATCTCCTAGTGCCACACCTACCAGTTTATAGCAGCTAATCTATGAACAAAGGCCACAATATGTACAATTTAACCTGCGTCTGTCTCCGTTCCCATTTCATTCACTTCCATTTAATTCTTGAAAAAGGTAGCTTTTGAAAAGATCTTTTTGCAAACTAATTTATAAGCCTTACTTGAGGCAACTATTAACTTATTTTTGCAGTCGCATTTCGAATCCATTGAACGATTTACAATGTCGGGTTTACACTACGTTCGGGAGCGTATTCACATAAAAGTTCTTTCTGCTTCTGTGTCTCTAACACATCTACTGCAATTAGTTCACTGAATTCTTCTCCTAATTTGACTAATTTTTTTTATTGTGTTCGTCTCTCTTCAAGAGCTTCTAGCCCAAAAAAACATACTGAGAAATCTTATGCCGCCATGAAGCTGCGACCATCAATTAGAATGAGAGTAAAGGTAGCGAGTCGAACGTATTCTAAGAAATTCTCCACGCCGGAAGTCGTTCCAACACGTCTTATCTATGAACTTGCCCAAGAAACAGCCAGGCAAATCAAAACGCCTCCTAAAGTGATAAAAGAAGGTCATGGTAATCCTGCGACATGGACTAATGAAACGTCGACCATTGTTAAGTCTCATAAATGTCTTTGTCGTGCTAAGCCTACACTCATTTGTCGTCCCATGCCATCGTCAGCAGTGAATGATGAACTCAATCAACCAGGAGAAAATGAACTTGATAAACTTGTTCCACGGGCAAAAGAAGCAGTATCAGAAGCAGCTGCACAAAATTATTGCGATGATACACTTTATTATTATCAGGAACTTATAGGCTCTCAAAATACTGGTACTTAGTCTCACTGTCATCATAGTCTTACTAGACCTTTCCAAGGAATCTCCAATCTGATCGTGATTGCGTCAGATTCAAAGTCACCTGGTATTAAACCTGTCACAACCAGAACCTTAAGTGTTAACCGCCTCCAGGCTTCGCTCACTGGGAAGCACTATAAGTTATTGCGTCATAATGACCAATCAGTCCCCTTCTACTCAATTTGGGGTCTCTTGTCTCGGTCCTAATATCTCTCGTTCTGACAACAAACCTGGAAATGTGAAGGAGCAGCACTTTGAGCTACAATGGGAAGAGGCAGTGTGAGTGATACTTGACGCCCAAATCTGGTCGCTCTGGAACCAGCATAATTGTTCTTGATGGGAAAGCAGATAAAATCAGGATTCATCTGTAAAGATATGACACCTCTCTGCCTTGAAATTTCGAATTTCCAAAGTCTTCGCCTAACAGGAACAGCCGGCTTTGTCGAGAGTTTTCAGATTCCTTTTGCTATCCCTAAACCCGATACCATGACTCAACTATTACCATGAAATACTTCAAATATAAAAACGAGTTGGTAACATAAATGCAAGGTGTGAATATTTAGCAAAATTTTTTGCTCCTATAATATGGTATTCCTCTCTTTGCCATCCTCCATTTGCTATGCTTTTAAATTTGGTCATTCGCTGCAACCTTTTCTGGAAATGGAAGCTCCAATCTAATTAGTGAGGACTTCAAATCATAAATACTTCCTAATGATATACTTAAAATCGCCATCAAAGTTGAATGACAGTTGCTGTCGTGACTGGTGGCTGACGTGTTTAATTGGTCTTTAGCATTTCGGTTCAACAATCACGCATTGACCAAAATATAGCTTTCAAGTTAGTGTTGGGTAAAATTTTAATGACAGTACTAAATATTCCCATTGGATAATTGTGATTAAAGACTACACTTCATGTCTTTAATTACTTCTCGAATGGAGTTAAATGGTAGTGAGGAGTTCGTGGAGAAAGGTTTTGAATCTCATGCCTCCATTTGTTTAACTTGTTTATTTTAATGAAATAATTCCAATTTAGAAATAATTTGCGAATAGATTTCAAAGAAATATATCCTGTTGGGAGAAGAAAGACAAATTTTGTTAGTTGTCAACTTTCAAACTAAAAGGTTGACATTTACCCATATTTTCATGATTTCCTTCATTTCAGGTTGGTCTAAAAGAGAAAATTCACGCACAATTTCCGTCTTTAACTTTACAGAGCGCAAGAATGGCATTATCTCGTATGAGCCAATATGCAAAGTTCACATGGCATTAACATTTCCGCAAATATTTTCAAGAAATAGGACCTTGAGCTTCATACTGCAGTCTTAGTATAAACTTCACCATGCCGTTGCTGAGTTTAGACTACGTACCAGACACGATTGCCTGGCAAAACACCTTCACAGATTGGAAGTATACACTCAACCCATATGCCTTCTATGTAACCTACAGGAGGAAATGAAGAAGACCCACCTGATTCGGTGTCCAGCCCTAAAGACAACGACGGAAAGCCAGAGATACTGGGAATCAAGAAGACAGCTAATGAACTGCTAGTAATTAACTGCTATATATGTACCCCCCCCCACCCATGGGGGAAGCTGAAGTCAAAGTTTAAGGGCTAATGATAAATATCATAATGCCTGCCATGTGAAAAAAACTT